TTTATTCTTAAGTGCCAGAAACTGGAAACAACTCAAAGGCCTATCACCTAATGAATGCCTAAACGAATTGTACATCCATCTGTAAAAGAGTAAAGAATACAAACCTTAAGAGATCCTGGGAAAGGGTTGGAGGGGGAGCAGAAGGGGATGGACAAAATGGGTGAAAGAGACTTGGAGATACAAACTTCCAGTTATGGAATGAATAGGTCACGGGAATAAAAGACACAGCATAAGGAATATAGTCAATAATATTGCAATAGTGTTGTATGGTGACAGATGGTAGCTACACTTGTGGGGAGCACAGCATAAGGAATAGAGAATGTTGAAATGCTGTTGTACACCTGAAACTAATGTAACTGTGTGTCAATTATACTAAAAAAAATTTTTTAAGAGATCCTTGTGAGAATGGATAGAGAAAATGTGAAAAAGTACTTAGTAAACTATAAAGCACGACACAGAGCGTCACATTAATCACTGCTTACTAAAGGAAGTAAAGTGGTGATAGGAAGGTACCCACAAATCATACCATATGAGCCTTCTATATCTGGCTTGTTTCACTTAGAACACTTTTGAGATTCATCCATGTTGTTGTATGTACCTGTAGTTCACTCCTTTCTATTGTCGAGTGTTACTGTATATTAGTGTACACATATTCTAACTCAATAAAACTGATTTTTTTAACAAACCAGTAATATATAGCAAAATACTGGTAATTTTCAGCAAACTTTTAAAGATACCACTCTAACTGCAAAATGTATTCTAAATTCTTCTGTGGCAAGAGAGCACAGAACTCAGGGTTAGAGGCCTGTTACAGTATTACAATTTGCCATTTTTTGGTGCTCAGACTCTGAGCACCTTAACTTACCTGTAAAACAATACAAATCTCAAAAGATTCTTGTGAGAATGGAAAAGAGAAAAAGTATTCTGTAAACTATAAGGATGATACAAAGTATCCACGCTAATCACTGCTTACTCAAAAAAAGCAAGAGTTTCGGAGGCGCCTGGGTGGCGAAGTCGGTTAGGTTCCAACTCTTGGTTTCAGCTCGGGTCATGATTTCAGGGTTGTAAGATCAAGCCCCGTGATGGGCTCCACACTCAGTGCAGAGTCTGCTTCAGACTCTCTCTCTCCCCCTCTGCCCCTCCCTGGTGCTTGCGTGCTTGCTCTCTCTCCTTCTCCCTCTAAAATAAATAAATAAATCTTTAAAAAAAAGTTGTGACTAGAAAAATACTGACAAATTAACTGATGGCTTATAAAATCAGTCCCTCCTCAAACGCACCTGCCTCTGCCTCTTCCTAGCTATGTGATCTAAGACAAGTCACTTAACCTGAGCCTCGTTTTCTTCCATTTGTAAAAATGGAGCTCATTAACAGTAGATATCACATACTGAAATGAGTAAATACATGTAAAGCACTTGGTATAATGCTTTACAGATTTTAGCTCTTCTGACAAAATACTATTATTTTTACCTTACCAAACCTAAACCTAGCAGCCATCCTACCCATCCAAGGTGCAACAGTGTAGGTCATATCAGTGATCTAGAGCAGGGCTTCTCAAACTTTTAGTGAGCAGAATCACCTGGAGAGCTTCTCTAAAAAAACAAAACTTTTTTAGATGATTTAAAGAATTACTGCAAAGATAGTACAGAGAGTTCCCATAGATCCTATATACAGTTTCTCCTACCATTAACATCTTATGTTAGTATGGTACATTTGTCATATTCCGTGAACCAATACTGATACATAGTAACAGCCATGCTCTATTCAGACTTCCTTAGTTTTCCCCTAATGGACTTCTTCTGTTCTAGAATCCCATCCAGAATACCACATATACATTTTGTAGTCATATCCTGCAGTTTTTAAAACACAAGTTACTGAAACCCAAACATTCCTAATGAGAGCAGTATGAGGTGGGGCCCCAAAATTTGCATTTCTAACAAGTTCCCAAAGGATGCTGATGGGGCCAATCTAAAAATACATGGAAAACAGCTCTGGTCTAGATTCTAGACTCCAGAAGTGATGTTCAACACAGTGGCCACTAGCCAAATGTGGCTACTGAGCATTTTAAGTGTGGCTAATCTAAACTGAGATGCCCTGTATATGTAAAATACACCGAAGATTTGAAGACTTAGTCTGAATAAAAGAATCATGTTGATTACATGAGATGATAAAAAAAATTTATTTTACTTGGGTTTTTTTCCCCCATTTTTACTTTTTACCATGTGAGTCCTAAAAAGCTTTAAAATTACACAGGTGAGGGGCACCTGGCTGGCTCAGTCGGAGGAGCATGCAACTCTTGATCTCTGGGTCGAGTTTGAGACCCATGTTGGGCGGAGAGATAAATAAAAATAAAAATAAAATAAGGTGACACAGGTGACTGGCATGGAACTGCTACTGGATGGCAGTAGTTTGTGGTCTGGGCAGTAGAGCAGCAAGGGTGTCACCTGGGGGCTTCTTAGAAGTTCAGGTGATTCCCATGCACATTAAAGTTTGAGAAGCACTAATTATCAACAGGGGAGGGATACTTAGACACGTCAGCATTTGGCAGTTTGGTTCAAATAAAAATCTAATCAACTGCAAACTGAAACTGCAAGATATGTTAGGTCAATAAAAGTAATAGGGAAATGGCTGAATCACAGAAAAGCCATCCACAACTGAGGATGTGGCATAATCAGACCACTTAACAGTTGAAGAAAAGAAAAACCACATAGATAGTGGCCCAATGGGTTCCTCAAAAGAGGGTAATTTGAAAAGCATGATTTGAAATACAATGATGCTATGTGATACCACCATACTTTTTCATGTCTGATTCATTCCACAAAACAGTGCATATTTGCAATTAAAACTAAAAATGTTAAATATAAGATAAAATAAAGGTTTACTTTCTCTTTTCTCTCCCACTACTAGAAAACTGTAATGTCCATTTTGGGCAGATTCACCTTAAGTTACCTTTTCTTAGTACCAATTTTCTCAGGTAAGCAAAATACTGGTTGTACCTTTTCTTAGTACCAATTTTCTCAGGTAAGCAAAATACTGGTTGTGCCACATAAGGATTTTACACATCACTATATTCACTGTTTTATTTCAGTCAATTTAAAATTTTTTATTACCCTATTATTCTCAGGAATGTCAACTGCACAACTTCAAGTACATAAATTTGTAAAGCCCATGGTCTATCCATCTATTTTTAAAAAGCACCAGACTTTCTAATTAAGGAAATGAAAAACAAATGATGAACTACAAATAATAAGCTGTTTTTCTATAGCATTTATAGTACAAGTTTTCACTTGTGCCTCACAACTGGTATAGTAAGTAAAAAAAAACACTTAAAGATACATATTGACTATATATGGATAACTAATCTTTACGAATAGCATATTAAGAATCAATGAGTTAGCAAACTTTTCCAACTTTTATGGCTGATAAAGTACAAAGAGAAATCTATCAACAAATACTGGGCATACACATACACACATATAATCTGTTTCATTACAGTTAATTTTTTTCCCCAAGAAGAAACACTTCCAGAGTTACACGCAACCATGGGTCACACATAAGCGTCCAGATTGTCTGGCTCTTCAGGGTGCATGGCTCAAGGTTGTCTTCAGATCCTGCTTTTAGGCACTGCTCTGGGCTCTCAAATCCCTATTCTGAAACGTTTTCAAGGCATTTCAAAACAAAGGAAAAGAGAAAATTACTAACACCAGCAGCCGGAATGTCTACTCAGAGAAGAAAAGGTACAGAAAGATGACCCATTCTGTAATACACCTTCCTATAGATCAGGTAAGGAACACTGGATCTAGGATCTAGGAACACAGCTCTAGGCCACCGTTTCCCAAGTTTTCAGTACAAAACAGGCGTGGCTAGGGGCTAGATACTTTTTAACAACCTTCCACTCCAACACAGTTTTCCGAGGTCTCACCTTCGGAAGTGTGGCAGAATCTGAACCAGAAGCCGAGTGACTCCACTTGATGCGCCTTCCTCCACATTTCCTTCCCTTTGGAATATGTGCATAAATATTCGATAAAAGCTGCTCTCGTGTGTCATAATTAACCATAAAGCAATTCGAGTATTAGCTGCCTTTACCCATCATAAACATTTCACTTGGAATGACATTAGAACTTTCCTAAAGGTATGCTTTTAAGCATTTTGCTTTAACCTTTGCAAATGCATTTAAAACGGCTGCTGCGGTCGAAGGAAAACATCACAAGCCTCTGAAACTGAAGGCCGTGCGTTTTTCTGTAATGATGACCCTGCAGACATTTCTTCTCGGAGGTCTGCAGTAACTTAAGATACAACACGTAAAGGGACAGCCATTCTTGGAAGACAAGCTACGCTGAAGTGGGAGGAGGGCAGCACGCTTGTAAAGAGTTTTGGTTTTTTTTTTAATTCAAGGACTTTGAGGAGATTGCTCCCAGAAGAGCTAGAGTAGCAAGTGTCCATTCAACAGGGGCGGGGCACCTCTAAAGACTGCAGAGACGAAAGCACCAGTTTAAGGTCAGCAGTGCTCGAGGGGAGGCCCCAGGTGGGCTCCCTGGGGGGGGGGGCGAAGGTTTGCACACCCCACATCAGTCAGAGAGCGGGCACACGCAGCTGCAGAAGGCGAGGAAAGAAGGCGGCACCAGCCTGCCTTTTACACACACACACACACACACACCGACGCCCTCCTTCCTAGGGGCGGGGCGGGCGGGCGCTGCCCTCACACAGGAAGTCAGGAAACCCGGGGGGCAGAGGAGCCACAACTTCGAGCCATTTAAACCCTCTCGCCCACGTCAGCCAATGGGCTGGCAAAGGCTCCCCTTCCCCCCGCGCCCACCCTGCACCCTGCGCCCCGACCCCTCCCGCGCCGCACCTCGCGCGTACCTCGGCGCCGACGCGCCTCCCGCACACACCTCCCCCAACTCCGCCGCCCTCGGCGGGCACAGCCCCGGCCGCGGACGCCTTTGTGCAGCACCTCACCAACCTGCCCTCGGTCCACGGGGGCCCGCGTCCCGCCACCTTACCGAGAGCACGGCGGCCTCGCAGGAGGCAGCTCCCTCTTGTACTGGCACGGGGTCTGCGGGACGCCGAGGCGAGCCTGAAGGGCGCTCACACCGCGGTGGCCGCGGCCGGCCCGTCCCCGCAGGCTGGTCTCCGAGGGAGGGTAAGTTCCAGGGCACGTCGGAGCGCGCCGGCGCGGGGGCGGGGCGGGGCTGGCGGCTCACGTGACGGTAGGGGGCGGGACGAGGCTCACGTGATGACCCGGGCGGGCGCGGGGTGAATCGGCGGAGGTGGATCCGGGAGAAGGGCGGGGCGGGGGGAGGCGGAGGGACTGGGTGAGGGCCTCGGGCTGGCGAGGTTGCTGCCCGCCAAGTGGGCGTAAGCAGTTTGTAAACATGAAGTGGGAAACGTGGAGAGAAAACGCTGGGGAGAAGACGAGGGAAGGGCGAACAGGAAACGGACCGAGCCGTAGGGTGGCAGGAATGGAGCCCAGGGAAAGAGGGGCGGTGGGCCTTGCCCTTTCCTTTTCTTGGCCCACTGGCCTGCTGGGAGCTGCTGCCAGACGTAGGTCAGTCGTTCACCGCCCCGGAAATCCCGCGGGCAGACTCGGAGAAAGTGCCACACGCCACTTCAAGGGGACGCAGTGGAACTCTGGAGGCTCTGAGTCCATTTTCTGGGGCCATGCCGAGCTGTCCTGCGCCGGGGCCACCGGGGCAGATTGCTTCACCAGCTGTGCACACTCAGGGCTGACGAAGGCCCTGGGGACCCAGGAGCGGCCGCTCCATGATCTTGCTGCTCCAAAGCAGCGTAACCACTCATTAAGCTGCCCACGGGGCCTGCTGTGTGTAAGCCCCAGGGCCACAGTGTCATTGGCCAAAGTCATCACAGTCTGCAGCGTTTGCAGTTTGGCAGCACAGAATCCAGAAGTCGGAGGCATTAAAGGTTTCTCATGTGAGGGTGATCCTATGGCAGCGGTGGTACTGGACTGGGAATCTGGAAAAGATACCTAGCTTCTGCTTGTCATTTCTCGACCTTAGCTGTCAAAGGAGTGTGTTGACTGAACTAAAAAGCTCCTCCTTCTTCTAGCCCTAAATTTAATGACTGTGAGGAAAACTAACTCATATAAGTATTAGGTCATAAGAAACCAGTCATTCAGTAACCAGTTGCTGAGTCTGTCTATTATGGTGCCGGATGAAATTTTAATGATACCAGAATTTTAAAAAAATAAAAATTTAAAAAAAGGCAGGGTATGGTTGGGGAGCCACTCTCTGGAATTGGCCCCTTTCTGTTCTTCACCTCATACTTAAAGATGCCCCCATTGTCTGGTATCCTTCTCATAGCTGAACTCCCTGTTTTTTAATGGCTGCAAAGAACCCTTGGGATATTGGCAAGATTTTAAGAGCTCTAGTTTTCCACCTTCTTACTAATTAAATTAAATCTAATGGGAGGGGGGAGCGGCGCTAAAGTTTAAAATATTTTCCTTTTAGAAAGGAAAGATACTTAAAAAAAAAAAAAAAGCCAGAGACCATACTGTCTCTACCATTGCACTTGCTACCACCCTTCCCTTGGCACTGATGGTTTTTTCTGTCTTCCTCAGTTTCTAACATGTTCCCTTTTCTATGCCCTTATTCAGCATACGGAGTATTGCTGCTGTATGCTTCTGAAACAATTTGCCATAGAATTTCTCGTGATCTCTTTCTAGAACCAAAACAAGGAACGACTGTGAAAAGTAAACTGTGCCGTGACGGGAATGTGCTGATAACTTTATCTTCCCTACTCCCCAAACCTGAACTGGGCACCCTTGGTTTCAGCAAGAGATAGAACTGAACAGTTTGCATATACTTGCTGATCTGCCTGTAACTCTACTTCCTATTTCACAACATAATCTCAGATGATACCACAATGCCCGCAGTATGCTGATCACTACCAACAGCAGATGGAGTCAGGTAAAAAGAGCTCTCACCCAAGTGTGTTGTCTGAAAAGGACCTGATGGAGAGCTATGAAATCATTTGCAACACTGCCTCTAGTTAGTTTTTAAATAACACCAGTAGCATATGTCTGGCGCCTGTGCTCAGGATCTCAACAGATCATTTTCAGGATATTGACATTTAACTGGCTTCTAATGAGGTAGCATAGAGTTCCAAAATGTAGAATTCAAATGTAAGCTCCACAAAGGCAGAGGTTTGAGTTTGATTTGTGTGTATGTATGTATGTATGTGTCTCCAAAGCGCCTAAAAGCACAATAAATTTCTGTTGAATGTATTTTTGAGTGAAAACATACTCTGTAAATTGCTGGATATGCCCTGCTTTCTAATTCTTTAATAGGTAACCCACTTTTCATTGTGTATTTCTAAATGAAAAGGCATAAAATTATGTTTGGCATCCCTGCTTTGGCTAGGCTCTAGAGGAACAGAAATTTGGCAGTACCTATCAAAATTACAAATGCATACATATTCTGAATTTACTTCTAGGGATTTATCCTGCAGATGTATTTCCACACATGAGAAATGATAAGGTATTTCTTATTGTATTGTTGAGAATAGCAAATGATTGGAAATAACCTAAATACCCATCCTCAGGACCACTAGTTAAATTATGATAAATCCATACATTCAAATGTGGCTGTTAACAAACGAAGACACAGATCTTTATGTTTTAATATTACAATCTCCAAAATTTTTTGTTAAAGGAGAAAATGTTGCAGAATAATATATTGGCTTGTATATGCATTAAACTAGGACAAACTGTTGAGGCATAAGAAATCTGTGGATGGAAGTCATGGGAAAGACCCTTCATTGTATTCATATCTAAAGTTTTTGATATTCAAGCCATGAGAGTGCTTTATCTATTCAAAAAGTTAAATAAAATATTTAATTTTTTTCTGGTATCTTTATTTTGTTATTAAAACATTCAGGCTTCACCTATTTTATCAAAGTTTACCTGATCAGAAGTATATCAGGTAAACTAGTACATACATCAGGTAAACTTTTTAAAAATCCAGTTAATTTCTTAATTTTTGTTAAGTTCCGATTAATCAATAACTAGTCCCTTCTGAAATAATTTAAGATCCAGGTCCTGCACTTAGTTTGAAGCTTGGTATACACAATGTCAAATATATGTACATTTTCTAAAGTACTTTATTTTTCTTGAAGTAGAGCCTGACTTGAACAAGTTTTAATGACTTGGATCCTCTGATTTAAGTAATAAAACTAGAATTTCATGGACCTTTTGTTCACTCCTGATTGAGGTCAAGAAAAATATATTTGGGATAAAACACTAAAGGCATGTGTTTCTATGTCTATCTGTTAACTCGCCGTAATGTCAACTGCCTCCTATTTTCAATAGGTCACTCAGAAGCCCTGGAACTTATTTTGTCTATGTTTCAGCACTTTATTTTATTTATTTCTAGGCTTAATTTCCAGAAATTTCTAAGGGAATTATAATCATAGACTACAATAGCATTCAAATTTTCATAACACCATCTCCTTAAGGATTTTAAAGGCTTTGTAAATATTTTCTTGTGAAATCTCAGTTTTCACAACATATTTACATGATCAGTGTTTTTATACTCTTGTTAAAGACAAATGCAAGCATAAATAATTAGGACTAAAGGGCGAAATGACACCTGGAAATTTTTCCAAAATTGTATAGCCAGGGCTGCCTGACACTAGAAAATTAGTAACGGGTTTTAAAAGTTAAACTATGTAACCAGCCAATCAATAATTAAAGATATATTTTAATTTTAATTTTAATTTTAATTTATTTTTAATCAACAATTAAAGATATATTTTACTTTCTTCTCTTATATCCTTTAAATTAAATATGAACTCATTTAAGCTTTATATATAACTCAGATATAGGCACTAAGAAATAACTCTAAAATTAATACAAATCTATGATCAATAACTCATTATTTAAGTCTGTTTACACCACATGAAAAACCTTTGGTACTTGTCACAAGTAGGCAGTAGTACAACGTTTCAACGTAAAACACAGCTAAAATAGAAACAATATTTCTTGATTAAAAAATGAAGACACTTCCCTAACTTTGGGAACAAGGCAAAGATGTCTGCTTTCACCACTCCTACTCAACATTGTACTGGTGGTTCGACCAAGTATCTGGCGATAACTAAATTTGTAGATAAAACTTTATGTACATTTATATAATTTGGTACGGTAGATAAAACACAAACAAATCACATTACTAAAATCCATATGCTTGGGCAAGAGGATTAAATAAAATAAAAGCACCTACCCCAAACCTGGCATTTGGTAGGTGGTCAGCAAATGATAAACTTGAAGTTCTGTGGGGTTTTTCGACACTTCGTGAAAGAGTAATTTATTAAGTAGTTGAAGATAGATCTTTACAGGTTTATACAGGCTAGGGATGAAAATAGACTTCTTTCTGGGATGCCTGGGTTGGTTCAGTCAGTTAAGTGCCTGACTCTTGGTTTCGGCTCAGGTCGTGATCTCATGGGTCCCAAGATTGAGCCCAGAGCCCCTCATCAGGCTCCCCGCTCAGCGACGAGTCCACTTGGGATTCTTTCCCTCTCCCCCCCCACCCCCCCACTCACCTCCCACTTGCACTCTCTCTCTCTCTTCCTCTCTCTCCCTCAAATAAATAAAAAATAAATAAATAAATAAATAAATAAAATCTTTTAGAAAAGACAATATACTTCTTTCTTAGTTTGGGTTCCTCCAGAAGCTGACCTTGAGGCAAGGATTAAAGTGCAGAAAGTTTATTTGGGAGATGATAGAGGAAACATGAGAGTGAAGGAAGGAGATAGGGAAGAGGGCAATTAGTAAAGGATGCCTGTGATGGGCAGTTGGAGGTTAACCCTACCAGGGAAATTCTGGGAGCGGAGCAAGAATAATGTCTCTTCTATTTTCAGATAAAACTGATAGCAGCCCTAAGATCAAACACAAATTGAGTTTGTGAGATTTCCTAAAGATATGTGCAAGATGGAACCAGCCATCATAATCCTATTTTCCTAAAGATGCTGGATGACCCCTCCACCTCCATAGTAGCAGGGGCCTATGCTACTTTCAGGTGAGCATGTGAAATTTGCATTGCTTGCAGTGTACGTACTACCAATTCACTCTTATAATTGTGTATAATATTGGTTTGAGGAGTTAATCCTGGAGAATTTTCTCTGTTCCACACTTAGGAAGAAACATTTGCTTTTGTGTGGCCAGAATTATGTTAAAAATATTAGAACACTAAAATGCATGTTGTCGTCTCTATTGCTACATAAAGTATAAACTTATCGTTTTCCAGAATCAATCCAAATGTGATGCTATGACTACACAACTCTAAGTCAGATCAGCTATAAATCAGATAGCTTAACCACTATCCCCAGATTGATTCTCCACCCTTCTTTGCCCTGCTTTATGCCCTGGAGACCAATCCCTTGGAATTGTATCCAAACCAGACTCCCTTGCCCTGTTGGTTGGGTTGGGAAGCACTGACAAAAGATAGAAGGTGGAAAGAGAGGACGGTCTGGTGTTTATCCCACGCCCCCATTCCCTGTGTTGCCGAAGTTCTGGGAGTAAGGTAGCTGCTCACCTCCACGAATGCGGCTCCCTTTAGGCAGCTCTTCTCTCATGGTTTCTGCTCTCTCCAGGTCTGGGAACATTGACTGGTCTTTCCTGTCACACCTAGAGGTCAGGATGGTGGGAATGACTCCTGGCTATACTATTCTCTGAGTGCCTCCCCACCCTCTTGTTGGCTCCTTTAACCCTACCCACACCTCTGTGAATAGTCCCATCATTAAATTTGCTTCCACTACATTCAAGTGCACCTTTTCCTGATACATCCCTGCCTGACACATTTGATTGACCGTGTTCCTAATCAGGAGTGGTCTAGCCTTTGATAATTTTGATAATTTTTTGTGCCACTGAAATTAAAAGGATTCCAAGGGACACCTTGGCAAAAAAAAGAAAATAATAATAATAATAACCAACACCCTGAGGGCAGATGAAATGAAAGGAGAAAAACACTCTACCAAAAGCAGCAAATACTCAAGCCCAGTTTTGAAACATTTAGTAAAGGCATTTCAAGAACCCTCAGGGTCATTGAATTATTTCTGATGTTCATTTTAATGACTCTAAGTCCTCCCAGTAATTGGGGCTTCATGGTAATCCTAAAAGATATTGTAAACCTCCCAAAAAGTAAGATCTTTAAAATAAAAATAGGAACCTCTACTCCTGCTTCTCTGTTCTTATTGATGGTTTAATCATTGGAATGGAGGGAAGGAGGGACAGAACATCTGCCTACCAAATACAAACCCTCCACAGGCAGGTTCTTACATGATATGGTTTACATAAAACACTGGCACACATAAAAAACAGCCCGTTACCACAAGATGCTGGCTAATGCTTAAGGTATTCCGATTTGTTTTCATAAATTTGAGTTCCTAGACTTTAAGAAAATTGATAAAACTTTTTTATTTCTACTTTGTGATATTCATTTCAATTTCTAAGAATACAATAGGCAGCATCATTTGTCAATCACCATTCACTAGGAGAAATACATTTTATTTTTAAAGATTTATTTATTTGAGAGAGAGAGAGCACACAAGCATGAGTGGGGGGAGGGTAAGAGGGAGAGAATCTCAAGCACACTCCCCATTGAGCGAGGAGCCCCAAGGAGGGCTTGGTCCCACAACCCTGAGATGGTGACCTGAGCAGAAACCAAGAGTCAGACGCTTAACCAATTGAGCCACACAGGCGCCCCAGGAGAAATATATTTTAAGTAAAGAGATGAGTTGTATCTTAATATAGCAACCTATCTAGATAAGAAAAAGATTTTACTGGGATGCCTGGGTGGCTCAGTAGACTGGGCGTCTGCCTTTGGCTCAGGTCATGATCCCAAGATCCTGGGATGGAGTCCCGCATCAGTCTCCTTGCTCGGTGGGGAGCCTGCTTCTCCTTCTGCTTGCCACTCCCCCTGCTTGTACACTCTCTCTCTCTCCCTTTCTCTCTCTCTGACAAATAAATAAATAAAGTCTTTTAAAAAAAAAAAAAGGATTTTACTAATTCTTTAGATCAACTCTGCATAGTTATTAAAGAACTTCAATGATTAAAATTATTGAAGTTTTGGAAGGGGAAAATATTCAACTTTCAGGGAACACTGCACTACATCTGTTGATACTATCATGACAGCATTTAGGTAACTGTCATGGCAACCACAATTTAATCCTTCATTAGTGTCTTGGAACACTCAGGCACCCTGGGAAGTGAGGAGGGTGATTCAGCAGGCAGCACACTCTTGTCCTTGTGAGTCAGGAAAATACCAATGTTCTCACTCAGTGTAGGCAATAGAAAATGCAGCCGCTACGTGAACTGTGACAGTTTCCACAAGAGCAAGGTACTGGTTTCCTTAAATATTCTTGTAAAGTTTATGTTCATGGATTTTGAGACAGATTTTCACTTTGTGCTAATGTGCAGCCTTTATTTCTCTTCCTTTTGTTTTCAGGCAATTCAAAACATATTCTTCACTTTCTTTTGGGTGCGGGGTCAGTGAGAAAGTGAAACAGTTCTTTTTGCTGCCTTACCAGTTTTATTTGAAAGTGAGAAAAGAGGGGCGCCTGAGTGGCACGGTGGGTTAAGTGTCCAACTCTTGGTTTCAGCTCAGATCATGATCTCAGGGTCATGATCTCAGGGTTGTAGGATCAAACCCGCTGTTGGGCTCCACGCTCAGTGTGGAGTCTGTTTGAGATTCTCTCTCCCTCTGCCCCACACCCCCCACTCACGCACTCTCTCTCTCTAAAATAAATAAATCTTTTAAAAAAAAAGTGAGAAAAGAGATTGAATTCAATGGTTAAAATGAGATAGTTTTTGTCTTCATTTCCTGGTATGCCATCACAGAATCTCAAATTGTCAGGACTACCGAATTCAAATCCATAGTTGTGGTAAATAAAGCTCCCATGTTTGTGTATTCTGTGAGATCTGTGAAATCAGAATGAACTATTTAATGATCTGAAACATCAATTATCCACAGAATGCTAACTGGTAAAAGATTTTTTAAAAGATGTTATTTATTCGTCAGAGAGCGAGAGAGAGCACAAGCAAGGGAAGCTGCAGGCAGAGGGAGAAGTAGGCTCCCTGCTGAGCAAGTGATGCAGAACTTGATCCCAGGACCCCGGGATCATGACCTGAGCCAAAGGCAGACACTTAACCGACTGAGCCACCCAGGCATCCCAAAGTAGCCATATTATTTACCTACTTTTATTCTTAGGGTTAAAGTAAATCTTTTACCACTTAGGAACGCCCCGTCATGATCCCGGGGTCCTGGGAATAAATAACATCTTTAAATAAATAAATAAAATAAATAAATAAATAAATAAAATGGCTACTCTGAAAAAGCATCAAAAAGGTTCTTGCCATGTAGAACTTTCTTTTTTTTTTTAAAGATTTTATTTATTTATTTGAGGCAGAGAGAATGAGAGAGACAGAGAGCACATGAGAGGGGGGAGGGTCAGAGGGAGAAGCAGACTCCCTGCTGAGCAGGGAGCCCGATGCGGGACTCGATCCCGGGACTCCAGGATCATGACCTGAGCCGAAGGCAGTCGCTTAACCAACTGAGCCACCCAGGCGCCCCACGTAGAACTTTCTTACTGGTCTTTTTTTCTGTTTGATTAATTCATACCATCTCACGTGTGTGTGTTTATATGTACGCACAGGATGAAAGAGGAGAGATTCTTGTATATCTAAATATCTATTAAATCCTACTTGGGTTGGGGGAAAATATATAAAAGAAAGTAAAAGTTCTTCAATAGTTTAAGAAATTGGGGGGGTAAAAGAGATCCTCTCTCTTGATTTGACAGTGTGTCTCCCCTCTCCATCTAAGTGTGTGGCTTCGTAGGCACCGCTTATGATTACATGTTTGAATTCTTGATCATTTGAAAGTATCTGCTAATATGATTCACCTTAGCTTCCCGCAAATAAATCAACTTGCTGTCTGTTTTCCCCATCTTTGAGGAAGAGGATTCTCTGATGTATTGATGTTCAATTTCCTTATCGCAATCCACATTAATGCCACAGAGAGTTCACACATTCACTTATCTCTGAAAAGAGGGGCATATACTCATGAATCACAAAGATTCCAGAACCCTCTTCCTTAGTGTAACAAATTTGTTTCTTCTGATATTAATCAAACACTTGAAACCAGATTGCAGGCTCTCTGTCCAACTGGTTCCACTTCATTTCGGTGACCTTTGTCCTGTGTTTGCAGCTCTGCCCCAGCTGATAGAGGATGGTGTTGCATTGCAAGTGTACGTTTAAAAAGATGCTTCGGTTTGATTAAAACCTGCTCTTTGATGCTTATTTCTTAAGCTTTTAGACATATAATATTTTATGTTTACATAAACTCACATTCTTTTGTCAGAAAACTTTACATACATATTTTAGCCTATTTGAAGTAATTATTTTTTTTTAAGTAGGCTCTACACCCAACGTGGGGCAGGAACTCACAACCCTGAGATCCAGAGTTGCATGCTCTACCGACTGAGCCAGCCAGGCGCCCCTGAAATAATTATTTTTACTGTGAACAGAAATTTAACTCTCAGAATAAAGAGGGAGCTGGAAACAGTTCCTGTTAAAGATGATCAGGAAATAAAATTGAGTTTTTTACTCAGTGGTGCTTAGTAAGTTTCTACCCACTGATGAGGGGAGGGAGGCAGTAGACAGATGTCTTGAGGGAACTCAGGACTAGCATGCATTAGCAGCGTCACCCTATAACAAGTGTCATCATCTTGGATGAGACCTCTCAGAGCCTCAGTTTCTTCTGTCAAACAAGAGAGTTAGCTCTGATGATTCTACAGTCTTTAATTCTCTTTATTGACCTCAGGATATTTGACAAAGGAGATCATTTTTGAGTCTTGACTTATGTTTAAATATAACATTTACTACAATGTAATAATACTTAATGTTAGTCCTTTCAACCTCAAAGATTTTTCTCTTATAATGTAATCTTTAAAATATCCGTTGGATAAGAGGAGAAACTATGATTACCTGCATATTTCAGATTGGGAATTGAGGGAGTTTCGA